TATTAATATCAATTTTTATATTAATTGTTGGATATTGTTGGTATTTGAGAACGCAAACTTTATTTTGTTCTGTTGGCCACAATAGGGTAGATGCCTAATTTATATGTTTGGTAGATTATTTTAAAACATTAGACACGTATTTTTTATTTTCGTAGAAATAAATACATTCGATGGTATATATATATATTTTTTTTTTTTTAACGTTGCCCCACACTAGGATTTTCTCCTGTGTCGTGGGTGCGTTTACAAACATACAAGTTCACATACACAATGACACCCAGACCCGAAACAACAATTTGTGGATCACACAAAGTGTTGTTCCGTGCGGGAATCGAACCCGCGACACGTTGCACGGCAGCCGGTTGCCCAGCCACCGCACCAACCGTGCAGTCACAGTGCATTGCAGTGCAGTGCATATTGATTTGAAATGTCGTGTGACGTCACTTCTATGTACTTTTTGTACGTAGAAATGACGTTTTAGCATCCACTCCTAAACTTTGATTCGTTTTATCTAAGTATTGTTTTATTATACGACAAAATAAAAATACGTGTCAAATGTTTTTTCATTACCTACCTAAGTTACGGACTAAATAGATTTTTAATTTTCATATCCCGTCATCAACCTAATTGTCTGTTAGGTTGGCAACATTTTCTTTATTCTCTCTCCCACGGTTTTCTCTATAATTGATTGTTGCATGTGTCTTACTCAATACAACTATATTTTCCTGTGTTCTAAACAGTTTAATTTAATAATCCACCTCTTAAAATTAACAGTGAGTGGAATTCTTTGCCAGAGTCTGTATTTCCTGAAGGGTATAACCTGGGTCTCTTCAAGTCCCGAGTGAATAGGTTGCTTATGGGACTACGTGCTCCATCGTAGACCGCATTATCGCTTACCGCCAGGCGAGATAGTGGTCAAACGTCGGCCCATCAAATATAAAAAAAACAGATATCATGGATTGGATGTACCAAGGCCAAGGTTACACTAGGGGACAAAATGTCCTGCGACACGTGTCGCCAGTGACCTTCAGATGGAGTAGCGCGACGTTGCCGGACTGTGGTCGACATGTCTGGCAACATCAACGTCGCTATGGACATACATAAGGCGCGCGTTATCGCTTTATAATGTCGGGCGAAATCGGCAGGCTTCGGCTTAACATCTCGCCGATACATGTCGTAGGATATTTGTCCCTTAGCGTATCCTTGGTAAATCGCAATCTTCATGTTTTAAATTAGGGTTGGATATTTATTTTGCTGGGAGAGATATTTATTTCGACGTCGTCCATGGATACCTGGAAGACTAGAGGCGTTACAAGTGCGTTACCGACCTTTTGGGGATTCGTTGGGAATTTATAAGTTTGAAGTTGCCAACCCGCATTGAGCAAGCGTGGTGATTAATGCTCAAACCTTCTCCGTGTGAGAAGAGGCTTTGCTCAGCAAACCCTCTGCTGATTGTTATAAGAAATTTTATGCTTTGTAACGAAGCCATATTACTTGTAACAATTGGTCAGCTCTAGACTATCAATGGTTACTCTGTACTGAATCACTTTATTTGTTATCTGGATAACATTTTTTGTTCCTTATAGAGGTATATGGGGGAAGTCGATAAAGAATTACTTCAGTCAAGTATTCAATGCTATTCTTAGACATGAAACTGTTACGAAAAACCGAAATAGTCTATTTTCCCTACACTACAAGCCCTGCCTACCCACTTTCCACTCAAGTAGTATGCAAATAGTCTGAAAGCATGTCGCACGCAAACTAGGTTTATCTCGACGATACATACATTTCCTTTTATTGCTAACAAATATTGAATTACATAGCCAGTAATAGCTGTATTGTGACGACAGAGTACAGTACATTTGTCTGCCCCTATTCTTCCCGCGGGTATCGTACCAGCCAGGCAACTAACCCTACAAATAACTTCTTATTCTTTATTAATCTTTTATTTACAAATAATGTAAACTTAAATAAAATAACATACATAACATAACATCACGTCTTTTATCCTCGAAGGGGTAGGCAGAGGTGCACAATGCACATTATGCCAATGTACCATGTAACACCCACTTTTCACTATTTATGTTATAAGTCCCATGTTATAGAGGGTAAACCTATTGCCATACCTTCTCCTAATAATAACAGATACAACAAAAAAAAGAATTAGTGAAATCGGTCCAGCCACTTACGCGTGATGCCGTGACTAAGGGAAAAACGTATTCATTTATATAATATCGATTTCAAATCTGTGTTATGATTTTTTTTTTGGAATAGGAGGCATAGGAGCAGATGGATCACCTGATGGTAAGCGATATCAGCGCCGCCCATGGACATCCGCAACACCAGAGGAATCACAGCTGCGTTGCGCAGTATAATCTAAGTCTTTGACAGAAACTATAGGTACCTATCACGAATCACATCAACAGCCTATTATATAGGAGCCCACTGTTGACCAAATACCTCTTCTCAGCCAAAAAAGCATTGTAAGCGTGCCGCCGCTGACAGCGCCTACAGTTTTTTCATATTCACGATATGAAATATGACATACGACATAACATTTAAAGTTCACATTTAAATGACAAGTTATTTGCTGCGTTAGAGCCGTGTGGGAGCCGCGCTTGTTATGTTGCTAGGCTTATTGCTGTTCATTACGTCCGCAAGAAAACTACCCATTGGAAGACAACTAACGTATTAGACATGAGAACTGTCGCGGAGAACCTAACGGGTTACCGGGGCTCCGGCTCGACGTGCAGGAGAAGGAACGGGGTGCTTTTTAGTTATTAAGAGTCTGATTTTTTGAAAAAGCCCAGTAATCCTTTGCCCGACCCGAGAATCGAACCCGAGACCCTTTGCCCGGCAGTCGTATTTGCGACTACTCGGCCAACGAGGCAGTCAACCTGCTATTCGACTGTAAAATAAATTTTATAAATGTCAAAGTTTGTTAGTAGGTATACATTTGTGTATGGACCTACGTTTTTAATTCTTTCACGCAAAATCTAATGGACGAATCTGAATAAAACTTAGCACAGAGATAAATACTAGTCTAGAAAAAAAAAATAGGTACACTATTCTTTTATCTTTAAAACAGGCAAAACCGGTATAAAAGCATGTAAAACACCAACTGTTAACAGTAAACAACGTCCATCTTTAATAAATTATCTGTGGTAAAATAGGCAGCCATTTGCAATTTCAATTTGCAAAGCGCGAAAGTTTAATTGAAGTTCTCCTATAAAAATGCTAAATAAATACGGGAGGTGATTTTCAATCAGTTGTTATTGTAACAGGTTGTTAATGGAGCTGGTTATTATTAACGTTTTATTTTTAAAATAAATATGATTAGTTGACTAGTGTCGTAGTGACACGGGGGTATAAGACGCCGGCTTCTCACGCATGAGAATGCGTGTTCGAAACCTACAAACGGCAAGTACCAATGTAACTTTTTCCGAGTAATATGTACTTTCTAAGATTATCTAGACACCACTGAGAAACGGTGAAGGAAAGTCATCGTGAGGAAACCTGGGCTTATAATGTCTAATTATAAGTTTGAAATTGCCAACCTGCATTAAGCAAGCGAGATGATTAATGCTCAAACCTTCTCCGTGTGAGACGAGGCTTTGCTCAGCAGTGGGCATTTATAGGCTGTTGATAATGATGATGAACTATATTATGATTATGATGATTGTTATTAGAAAAGGGTTGATAGAAAAGCGCCAGGGAGATACAAAAACAAACAAATAATATTTACTATTTAGATGACTAGTTTGCGCAGTGGTATTGCAACCGATTGCTGTAGAAAAAGTCCAGGAGAAGCTGGAACAATTTGCATATTTATAAAAGCAGACAGAGACCTAGTTTGGCGTCACTTTAACAAAATCTCTTCACAGGATATTTATAGAGTTTTTGATAAAAAACTCAAACGCCTCTGATGTTACGGGTGTCCATGGGCAGCGCTGATCGCTTACCATCAGGTGATCCGTCTTCACGATTGCCGACTAGGGCTGATGTCATTTAGGATTCGCGGAGGACGTGACGGGTTGCCGGGGCTCCGGCTCGAAGGGCTGGAGTAAGAACGGGGTGGTTTTTAGTCAGTAAGAGTCTGACACTCCCTCCCGCCTCACCCAGGCTCATAATTATGCGAAATATTGCATACAACTAACAAAATTATTAAAACACCAAATGCCTTTTTGCAAACTTCTAATTCTCAGTAGTAGGACGGAGTCTGGAATTGTGCCCGGTACCTATATGGCAATAGGCTCACCCCCTATTACATGGGACTCATAACATAAATAGTGAAAAGTGGGTGTTACATTGTACAGTGGCATTATTTTTGTTTATTATTTTATTGGAAAAATACACCTTAATAAAGTTTACAATACACATTAAGATTTAGATCTTAACTAATACTATTTCACTTATTGCAAACTCAACATCAATAGTCACCTAAAATATTAATGATTTACGAAATGATGCACCATCACTGTATGTAAATACGTATAGCCGTAAGTTTCATAAGAAGTGCTACCGTGGTGAGTAGATATAATTAAAACTAATGGTATTATATTCACATTCTATTAATATTAATGTTAATTATTTTTTTTATTTTTTTTATTTTACTTTATTCCCAGCAATATCCTTACAGACTTATCCAAATCGATATTGAGGCCTCTTATATCTAAATTACAAACTATATTAATTATGTGCCGCATTGTGCACCTCTGCCTACTCCATTGGGGATAAAAGGCGTGATGTTATGTCATTTTGCAAACATCCCACCTCTAATATAAAAAATCTTGAACAATTCATAGTTTTCCCGCCCCAAAACCTATTTTGAATTGAACTTAGGCCCTCATGGTTAACATAGATGCTTTTAACCACTCGTCCTACGCAAAAGTACGCCGTATTTTTGTCACGAAACGCCGACGCATTTAAACTAGGCAAACTTTAGCCAATATAAAAAGGGGTTGATGGAAAATATCGGCCATTCCGCTTGTGACATCGCTACCAACGCCATCTTTTGAAGCCTTGAGGAAGTAGTTGAATATACGTTATTTTTTTTTCTTGTTGTAAAAATGTTCAAGATCACAGCTATCGTTTCGTTATTGCTTATTGGTAAGTAACTTTTTCTGTTATTAAATTGATTTTATATTTGATTTTGAGCTCGTCATGTTTTTTATATTAAGTTTCCTATTTATTAATACTTGTAATTTGATAAAATCACTATACTTATTTGTTTTTTAGTTTTTTTTCTACACGCGTTTTTTCGTAGATTTAAAACCTTTATTTAACTAGGATCTTTTTTATTCGAGATATGATGATATCTTACAAAGAAAAAGATACTCAATTTTTTTTCTGTTAAAATACCTACGTACCAAAATTATTGTTAGTGTTTATAATTTTTTTTTTATGAGTAAGTAAAACGACAATGATTTAAACCTGAAATAAACTCATAATTCATATAATAATTTTAAAAAATGTAGTGTCTATATAGTACAGTCATTTTTAAGTTATACCTATTTATTATAATATGTAATATTTATTTATTTCCCTATTTTAATATATCATGCAAATAAGGACTAAAAATAGATAAAATGTTTAAAAAAAAATTAGAAAATGATTCTACGTACGTTATCCCTATTTTTTATGATTTTTACGTTACGTTATTTTTATTAATACATTTCTTTTCATCATATATGATTTTATTCTGGACCTAATATTAATTTTAATTTGCCAGCGACTTGGTCGCAGGCAGACTCTAAACGCCATAAGAAAGAGGCCACAGCATCATCTGATTTCCCATCAGGTCAGTCAGGAGCATGGACCGGTCAGGAGATGTCAGTGTTATGAATAGTCACTCATATACTTGATTTGTCAAACAATAAAACAGACTAAAATAACAATAATCGTGTAAATTTTTTCAATGGGGTAGTTTCTTAAATTTTATTTTAATGTTCATCTAGTACCTACATTAATTTAAAAACTTTAGACACTCTCACAAAATTAAAATACTTTCGACGATAAATGAATTTGAAATATCGTGTGACGTCACAGCGTGCCACATTTTGTAGCACGTTATGACGTAAAGACCTCCCACTCCTAAACTTAGAACCATTTTATCTACGTATTGCAACTTAATACGAGAAAATAAAAAAAATACGTGTCTAATATTTTTTTCACTATCTAACTGACGGACTAATTAGATTTTTAATGTTGATACCCTGGAAACCACCCAAGAAATTCATGTTAATCGCAGTTGTATTTAAGTTTTTATTTTTCATTTTAACTCGTCGAGTACCGGTTTTGTAGACACAATTATAGAACAATAGGTTGCGGTCACCGGGACCGCTTGGTGTTTGACAGTTTGTTGCCTACCAATCAGTAATAGGGTAGATGACTAATTTTTATTTTAATGTCCGTCTGGTAGATTATTTTGAAACATTACACAAGTAATTTTTATTTTTAAACAGAAACGAATACTTTCGACGATATATTGATTTGAAATGTCGCGTGACGTCACTTCTATATTCATTTTATACGTAGAAATGACGTTTAGCCCCCACTCCTAAACTTTGATTCGTTATATCTAAGTATCATTTTATTATACATCAAAATATAAAAATACGTGTCTAATATTTTTTCATTACCTAACTGACGGACTAATTAGATTTTTAATTTTCATACACTGTCATCATCCCAATTAATTTGAATATTGTCAATTTCATAACGTAAGAAATATACCTAAATATGCAGAAAAAACTTAGTTTTATCATTACGACAAGTCAAGTGTATGAGAGAGATTTCAATGTTTAGGCCAGTCAGTAAACATTGTTATTAGATATAGATATATGTATAGTTACTAAGTGTTAGATTGCATCATTGGTCGTTAGATTGAGACCCAAAGTATTGTATGTACTGGGCTTGAAAAGCTGCATCTTTTTTTTATAGCATAAGCCGGTAAACGAGCAGACGGATCACCTGATGGTAAGCAATCGGCGTCGCCCATGGACACTCGAAACACTAAGGCGTTACAAGTGCGTTACCGACCTTTTGGAAATTGGGAATTTGGAGGATTTAGGGATTCGGGAGACGGGGACTAGGGACGGGGATAATTGGGCCTCCGGTAACCTCACTCACACTCTCTATTCCTCCTCTCTATATTCATATTCAAATTGAAATTGTTTATTATATTAAAAATTACAATATCTGTCTAACATTGAGGCAGTCCCAGTAAGTTATACAATACTTGTGTTGGGCCTATAGGACTTTGAGTTTGGTGAGGGATGCACATGATGAAGAGAAGGTAAACTATCTACTTTTATGTGGAATAACTGGCGTGATTTTATGTTATATGTTAGATAATTTTAGATTGGCTGTAAATGTTTAGAAGTATCGGAAAATGTATGGTATAGCCTTTATAAAATATGTGGTTCGCGTGTATAAAATAATTCATAAAGATTAGAATAATGTATGTGTTAAATGTTTATTAGTTTGATAGTTAGTATTAACAAATTAATTATCTATCTCTCCTTTTTTTATGGGATAAGCCAGTAAACGAGCAGACGGATCACCTATTGGTAAGCAATCGGCGTAGCCCCCATGCACCTTGAACACTAGAGGCGTTATAAGTATGTTACGGATAAGGAATTTGGGGATTGTTGGGGAATCAGGGATTACGAAAGAAGGGGAGAGGTAATTGGGCCTCCTGTAACCTCACTCACATGACGAAACACAACGCAACGTTGTTTCACGTCTTCTGTGAGACCGTGGTATCACTCCGGTCGAGCCGGCCCATTCGTACCCAAGCATGGCTCTTTCACACTTCTGTAGACCATCTCTTGTGCCAAGTCAAAGGGTATTTAATATATGTGATCGAGATAATAGAAAACTCAATGTAAGTATAAATCGTTAAAAGCATAAAACGAAACCTATTGAATTCCTATTCAAAAGTACAAATGTACTTTTACTGTTCAAAAGTAAAAAGTACAAATGTACTTTTGAATTGAGAAATATCAATTCTCACGGTCATTCTTCCCCTAAATGACTTTTGGTTCACAACACTATGAAGAATAAATTGTCTCAAAATCCACAGTTCGCTGTCATAATTTACGATATATTTTTAAGTGTGGGAGAGCCATGCTCCGGACGAATGGGCCGGCTCGACCGGAGTGATACCACGGCCTCACAGAAAACCGACGTGAAGCAACGCTTGCGTTGTGTTTCGTCGTGTGAGTGAGGTTACCAAAGGCCCAATTACCCTCTCCTTCCCCAATCTCCTCAATCCCTGAATCCCCATCGATCCTCAAACACCTAATCCCCAAAAAGCCGGTAACCCACTTGTAACGCCTCTGGTGTTCCAGGTGTCCATGGGCGACGCCGATTGCTTACCATCAAGTGATCCGTCTGCTCGTTTACCGGCTTATGCCATAAAAAATATATAATTATATAAAGACCTAGCTGTTTTTCTATGCAGGCAGCACACTATGGGCAGCCAGTCTATCATGCGACTCCTGCGGCAGTGAGTGCGCGTCTGCATGCGGCACCAGGCACTTCAGGTCCTGCTGCTTCAACTACCTTCGGAAGAAACGAGGACCTGATACTGTGAAGGTATGTGATCCGTTCCGTGTCTGAGTGAAATTGTTTGTTAATTTGTAAACGCATACACGACACAGGAGAAAATATTAGGCCGTAGGTTTTTTTAAAAAAAAACATTGAAAACAATTTTGTCTTTAACATATTATGTTCATGTTCATCATCCGTACGGTAACTGGCTGCAGCGCAACGTGTAGTGCGTTCGATTCCTGCACGGAGCAGCTCTTTGTGTGATCCACATATTATTAATTCAGGTCTGGGAGTCATTGTGTAAGTGAACTAGTATGTTTGTAAACGCACCCACGACACAGGTTTTAAAAAAGAAAGACTGGTCAGAAATTATTATTACCATATTCAAAATGCGTCTTGGATACAAAAAAAAAAACTTTTAAGTACATTTTAAAATATTTTACAGTTCTTGGCGCCAAATCAAGAAAATATGAAGGAAACACAACCTCGTTCCAAACTACCAATGTTTGTCGTCGAAAACATTCCAGTTCCAGAACAGTGGATCTCCAACATGCTGTCCAACGAAAACCATCCTTACTCAATAGAAGATGTGGTCGAAAATCGAATGTACGACGCTTAAATTTATAATTCTGTAAACTGCAATACCGCTTGAAAATACTTTTGTACATTTTTCTTGTTGGATTTGATTTTTTATACAAAAAACGCTCTTATTTCATTAGTGATTCGATATATTTCTTTTAATGACACTGCTCTTTGACAGTGGCAGATTTTCATTTTAAAGAGTTTCCACGTATTCTCCAAAAGATGGAGTTATTATCAATTATTTATTCAATTTTTATCATTTTTACCAAGAAAAAATATAACAATATTTGAAATTTATATTATTCTTATGTACAGATCTATTTAATAATTACTTTGTCTCAATCATATAAAAGAAAATAATATATTTTTTTATTTGACGCAAAACTATTGTATTACAACAAGTTACCACCCAGCGGCATCTCATGTAAAATGCACTTGTATCTATGGTCATGAATAAAATTATAAAAAAAATCATGTAAAATTCATAGACTATACATTTTGACATTTAAAAAAATACTTTGAATGTAGAATTATTTGACTTAGAATAATTTATTTATAAGACTCAATTGCCAAAGAAGAAAAAAAAAATTATTAAAACTATGTACACAGAAACAAGTGATGGTACATAACGCGGTCCTTGTACATGCCATATGACATAGGTTCTATGAAAAATGTATTCAAATGTATTTTCAAACTCCTGTCAATTTGTAAAAATATGATTTACTTAATTAAAAACGTATCATAATACTTTCAATTTAAGTTTTAAATTAGTCAATAGATATTATAAACGATGTATCTTTAAAAAATAAATTTTATGTCTAAAATGGCTGGATAAATAGACATAAAATTTAATTGAAATTATTGTTAAATGAGGATGAATACTAATATAAAATATTACTATCCAGGTTTTGTAGTTTCATTTCAAAACAAGAAGCTGTACTATATAATTTATTTTTTATTTTAGACGGTTTCAATGAGCTCTATTCCAACAATCAAGGTCTTTCGTTTGATATCCATAGTGACGGTAGTTGTGGCAAAATTAGATAATATTGTATGGTCATCAAGATTAATTCCGGCATAAGAGTGTGTACCAAATATCAGATCGATCTGTCATCAGGAAGGGGGTGAATTACAATTACTACAGACACAAACTAATGCCTAGTTCGCAATATCCTAGTATTTTAACTCGTCGAGTACCGTCTTTGTAGACACAATTATAGAACACCGGTTGCGGTCACCGGTGACCGCTTGGTGTTTGACAGTTTAATATTATAAATGCAAAAGTAAATCTGTCTGTCTGTCTTTTCTTCACGCCTAAACTGACTAAATGAAATTTGGCACAGACATAGTTTGGAACTCGAGAAAGGACATTGGATAGTTTTTATCCCGAAAATCCCGCGGGAGCGGAACTTCTCAAAAATCTCGCGAGATCGGGAACTATGTGGGTAAAAACAAAAATCTGCCGGAAGTCACTAATTCCACGCGAACGAAATCGTTACATAGAAACAAAAGCTAGTCATATTTATTCAGTGTTCACAGATATTGAAAAATCGTTAATAAAAAGGAGCACCATTAGGACCACTAATTTTGAATAACTAGCGAGCCGCCCCGGCTGCGCACATGTGCCATATGCATGCATTATACATATAAACCTTCATTAAGCCTTTAACTGCGGACAAAAACTGTTAAAGGCTAATCCTCCGCTAGCATCGGACAACATTGTCCGACACGGCAGCCAATGCGTTAAGAAACACTATCTGTTGCAAAAAACCGCATCAAAATCCGTTGCATAGTTTTAAAGATCTAAGCATACATACATACATAGGGACAGACAGATAGCGGATAGCGACTTTGTTTTATATATGTAGTATGTAGTCATAGTAATCTGTCTATATATCTGACAACGAATGTTTGACGAACTTGCAACATTAAAACTATGGCATAAGTAACATTAAAAGCTGTGATCGAGTTTGTTATACGAATCTTTTCTTGTTAAAAGGTGCGAATTTAAACTGTCAAACACCAAGCGGTCACCGGTGACCGCAACCTATTGTTCTATAATTGTGTCTACAAAATCGAACCCGAGACCCCTTGCCCGGCAGTCGCACTTGCGACCACTCGGTCAATGAGGCAGTCATGTTATTGCTGGCATTATCAATATAAGTGACTGTAAAAGGCGGCATCAGCACCAACTTGTATTTATGAAATACCACTGGCTAGTTTACGGTATTAGAAAAAAAATCGATCTTTCATCAGTATGGTTGTTTTTTTAAGGCCGGAAAATTGACTAATGACTTCTCCCGCCTGGGTGAGGCGCGAGGGAGTGTCAGACTCTTACTGACTTAAAACCACCCCATTCCTACTCCTGCCCTTCGAGCCGGAGCCCCGGGAACTCGTTAGGTTTTCCGCGGCTTCATCAGTATGGGTAGAACCTAATTTGACGTTCATTGCGCGTCTGTCATACATATTTTTGCAATACATTACTGTTATTTCTGCTGGTTTATGGTATTCTGCGTCGAGTCGAGCCTTTTAGTACCTCCGTAACTGATGACCGGTAGGAGTCTTTTACTGTGTATTTCGTAGATTAATGATTTTATGTCTAACTAGCTACTTCAGTACACACGAGAAGTACGTATCCTTACTTCCTTATCCTTATACTAATATTATAAATCGGAAAGTGAGTTTGTTTGTTTGTTTGTTTGTTTCTTCCGCTTTCACGCCGTAGCTACTGAACCGATTGTTTTGATTTTTTTCAGACGTAAAGTTAGAAGTCTGGATTAAATAATAGGGTACTTTTTATCCCGGAAAAATTTGATATTCTCGAGGGAAAACGAAATTATTGGTATAGATGGCGCTGTGTGTATTGATTGGTATATGTCACATAGGCTACTTTTTATCCTTTTGTGGCTTGAGCGAAGCCGCGGGTAATAGCTAGTATAGAAATAAATTGGAGGTACATAGGTACTACATATTCTCGTAGGAATCTCTTCCTGCAGTCCTTCGACGGGAGAAACAGTACAAACTAAGATACTGTGTGTAACATGGCATGAACAAAAAAAAACAAAAATTACCAAAATTAAGTCTATAAGTACCTACTTAAAACTACATGCACAAAAAATGAAACCCGTTTCCCGTTGTCACGCCATAACTTGAGAACGGCTAGACCGATTTCGTTTTGTTGTGTTTTTTATTGTCAGGAGAAGGTTCTTATGACAGAAACAAGTCCTGAAAATCCTACGGGAACGGGAGAAAACGGGATTGCGCGTACGAAGTCGCGGGCAGAGGCTAGTGTACTAAATAATAGATCTCGATAAAATACATATACCCTAAGGTTGACTGGTAGAGAATGCCATATGGCATTAAGTTCGCCTTATGTGCCATTATAAAATTGTTTACATAAAAGAATAAATAAATAAATAAATATACCTATACGTACGATAGATACATATCAAATAATACACATTTTTTTTTTTTTTACTTTGTCCCACACTAGGATTTTCTCCTGTGTCGTGGGTGCGTTTACAAACATACAAGTTCACATACACAATGACACCCAGACCCGAAACAACAATTTGTGGATCACACAAAGTGTTGTCTCGTGCGGGAATCGAACCCGCGACACGTTGCATGGCAGTCAGTTGCCCAGCCACCGCACCAACCGTGCGGTCGATGCGATATGAGAGTATATTACAAATAAACATATTATACATATCTATATGACACTGATTTGCACAAGATGAGGAAAGGTAGGTAATACTTACGAGATGAGACAAACTGATAATAATTGGCTCCGAATTGTTATAAAAACGACACAAGTCACATGCAGTTCCTAGTATCCTAAATTATAACAATGAAACGTTGCGAACTGGAAATAATAATATGTGAGGCTTTCTCGACATATCTACTTCCATTCTACCCTTCTTAACACCAGGGGGCCTACTCTTGAATCCAATTCCGATCGATCGACATTGACATTGTGAAATTTCGTACTCTCGAGTTGCAGCACTAGCGGGCGCTAGTGCATATTACATCCGTATTGCGTGAATATTTCATGAACTAATTGGTATTGAGTTTGGCTTTATATTCCGTACTCCGAGTGCTACTTTAACAGCTACGATAGGGGTTGCATTATTCTGACATTGGATAATTATTGAGATTTTATTGGATTGACATTGAGATTAGTTTCAAGAGTAAGCACCCTGTCCAATTTATAATGGTGGGCATTCCATTCTCTGAGCTGAACCTTCAGCTCTGTCCGATATTTGCAGTGTCGAGGTAAGCGAGGACAAAGTTTCCAGGTTACTTCGCAAACTGGATACGTCTAAGACAAAAGGCTCTCTAAGGCCAAATTTCTCGTAAAGTGTGTAACGTCAATTGGGATGCTGACAGGGTATGAAAATTAAAAATCTAATTAGTCCGTCAGTTAGGTAATGAAAAAATATTAGACACGTATTTTTAATTTTTTTCGTATTAAGTTGCAACACTTAGATAAAATGGCGCTAAGTTTAGGACTGGGAGGTCGTTACGTCATAACGTGCCACATTTTGTAGCACGTTATGACGTAACGAGGTATTCCACAAAACGCACCTGTTTTAAAACGCACCTGATGAAACGCACCTATTTTATTCCACGAAACGCACCTACGATAAATTTTCGATTAGAGATGGGATGCTAACTGAAACTATCGATAATAAGTAAAAATGTTATTTTATACAATTTACAAAAATGCTTTACTCCTCGACCATAGAGTGTTTTTTTACATAAAGTATTCCTGGTTAGTATTGTCTGGGGATGTTAAGATTTTAATATTTTTTTTTTGTAGGAACGATTAATCAGTCAACGAATTGATAATGTACTTACTCTGTGATTTTTAATATTAAAGATTACTTATTTTTTATATACGATTATGATAATAATGTGATTATTACACGCATATCATTTCTATTATACCTGTGCGTTTTATTTATTATTAACATCATATTAACTTCCTCTTTGAACCCAAAATAACATTCGTCTCTGAATAGGTACACATTATAGTGCCAAAAGCAAAAAGATATTTTTCTGTCAATTTCTCACTTTTGGTTAAGCAACTTCGATGATATCGATGTACAAATGATTTCTTTAAATTATTATCGATATATTTTATTATGTTTACTTAATTCTCTTCCCTAATTTTAAACATGGGTGCGTTTCGTGGAATAAAATAGGTGCGTTTCATCAGGTGCGTTTTAAAACAGGTGCGTTTTGTGGAATACCTCGTTACGTCATAACGTGCTACAAAATGTGGCACGCTGTGACGTCACACAATATTTCAAATTAATATATCGTCGAAAGTATTTAATTTTGTGAGAAAAGAAATAATACATGTGTAAAGTTTAAATTCATGTACCAGACGGACATTAAAATAAAAATCAGGAATCTACCCCATGCTTCATAGCAAAAATTCTTGTAAGAATTATCTACAATCAGGTATAGTGCTCAATAACTTTTTTAGTTCTTTCTAACAAGGGTTTTCTGAAGAGAAGGTCCACCATCGCTAATTATCATTAGGCGCTATTGGCAATAAAACAACAAGAATTTATACGAGTTGAAACTTTATTTATTTAATTATTTGAACGTAGGTCCATTTTAAATCATAATATATTAAAACTATTAACACGTACAAACTACGATAAATATAGTCTTACATTACAACGAAATCAGTCATTTAATTTATTCAAGTTTACACGTATCTAATCTAATTGATTCTCGACCAAATTGTCAGTGGTGTAAGGTTGATATTCGCTAGACAAAATGTTGTTGATCAGCCGTGCTGTCAAAGGAGAATCTTCGACGACAAATACAGGAAAATCTGAGTTTTCTTGAGTCTTCACATTTTCTCCTTGTTCGTGAAGCTGAAATAAGAAATAAGAATATTAACTCGTCGAGTACCGGTTTTGTAGACACAATTATAGAACAATAGGTTGCGGTCACCGGTGACCGCTTGGTGTTTGACAGTTTAATTTAACATTGTTTGTGTCGATGGTCGAGTGGTCGGTTGTGCGACTGTCAAGTAGGGTGTCTTAAGTTCGATATTTTTTGTTATGAGCCCCATATAACAGAGGTGAGTTTATTGTCATTCACCAACAAAGCTATATTCGTAAATCAGCAAAAATGTAATACAACTTTGTTCGATCCGAGAATCAAACCAAGACGCTACACAACTTCTCCCATGGCAGTCAGAAGTATATACTTACGTATGATAAATTAATCAGCCTGTTACTATCTTAATATCCCAACTACTGCTGAGAAAAACTTACTTCTCACACGGAGAAGGATAAAAAGATGATATAAAAATAAAAAAATCCATATTTCTAGCTGTACAATACATTGTTAAATAAGTATTAGCTATTATATTATAGTTACTTGTGCGGCATGTGGCGCCCTCTTCCGGCGCAGATAGTTGAAGCAGCACGCGCGGAAGCGGCGCGTACCGCACGACGCGCTGCACTCGCGCCCGCACGAGTCGCACGACGACCACACACCGCTCACTGGAAGGAGCAATACCACAAATAAAGAAAGAACTTAATATATTGTTTTTGAGGGACGAAAATCAGCCAATGACTTCTTCCACCTTGGGGGAGGCGAGAGGGAGTGTCAGACTCTTACTGACTAAACACCACCCCATTCCTACTCCTGTTTTGAGAAGTGGTCCATAGTTCGGGTACTCTAATAATTTATTTATTTACTAGCTACTTCCGCGCGGTTTCACACGCTCTGCTCAGCTCCTATTGGTCGTAGTGTGATGTTTTAGCCTATAGCCTATAGCTATACTCGATAAATGCGCTATCCAACACAAAAAGAATTATTCAAATCAGACTTGTAGATACGGAGATTAGCGCGTTAAAACAAACAAACAAAAAAACAAACTTTTCCGCTTTATATAATAGTATATAAGATATAAGATTTTTTTTAAGGGGGATAATCATCGAATGTCTGCTCCCGCCTGGGTGAGGCGGGAGGGAGTGTCAGACTCTTACTGACTAAAAACCACCCCGTTCCTTCTCCTGCACGTCGAGCCGGAGCCCCGGTTACCCGTTAGGTTCTCCGCGACAATATATAAAATTAAGGGGCAAAAACAGTTACATTTAAAAATGTACATGTAAATATATCTGTTATGAAGAGTAACAGCAATAATGACAGTGTTACAATAATGTTATATAATTAAATAATATTTAAATTCACTAAATAGGTAATACACAAATTGTTACAACAAAAAACTACTGTTCAAATCTCATAATTAACAAAAATAATAATAAATATAGTGTCGTGCTGAGGTAGTCCATTTAGAGCACCTGTACGAATAGCACCTGAACGAATAGCACCCAGCCTAGTCCACGAAGGGCACCTATCAAAATATTTGGCAGGTGCTCTTCGTGGATGCAAATTTGTTTATATGTATTTATCCACGAATGGCACCTACGACTCAGAACCGTAGTGCTGGGATATATACACCCGTATTTGGTAAGCAGGACGTTAAATAAAAAATATCGAAAATAATACATATGCATTAATAATTTACAGCATCATCAATAATTAATAATTTACAATTTACAATAAGGTACAGCGCTTACGCCAATTTCGAAATCCACCATGGGTCTCTCTTTTCTTATGCTCAGGACCATATACCAAGCAACCTACCTGGGATGCGTGTGCTACGGAACCTGTCTGAAAATACTAGCTAGCTAGCTCTTTACCTCTCTTTAGTAGCGCCTTTTTAAAATGGAAGTAACACCCTTTTACTACGACTTTGGGAAATACAGATAGAATTCCTCTAACTGCAGCTTCTTCAAAGTCACTTGTAAAAAAATCTATAGACATGTCTGGTATCGTGGAAAATGTTTACGGCGTCGACAGTGGAGGGGTTATAAAAGTAGACATTATTCACCATATTCATTGCCTCTCTTATATTAATACTCTTAATTAAACCTCTTTTCTTCAATATTTTCAGTATTTTTGTAAAACGAATCTGTCAAGGTTAGAAAATCAACAAATACTAGTTATGTGCATAGATATTGTCGCGGAGAACCTAACGGGTAACCGGGGCTCCGACTCGACGTGCAGGAGAAGGAACGGGGTGGTTTTTATTCAGTAAGAGTCTGACACTCCCTCCCGCCTCACCCAGGCGGGAGAAGTAATTCGATGATTTTCCCCCTTAAAAAAAAAATGTGCATAGATATATAAATCATATCAGTGGTTATGTGACATTGTCACATAATGTATGGTAAGTTTTTTTTTATTTAATGTTTATTAAACTATAAAAATGGAGCCTGTTCCCGGTCTTAGTTATCAAAATACAGCTATTAGCTACATTTCCAGTAGAAAAGGAGCCCGTATACTAATTTATGAAAACAGACAATATTTAGAAAGAAAGTTTAAGAAATAAATCAAAATATATTATAAGAGCACCACAGAAAGACGAAAACTAAGTGGGTCCTATGTGTGGGCTGTTATACTTGCTTCCAATAATAGGTGTCGCCATACCTATTATTGGAAGCAAGTATAACAGCGCGTATAAGAGCGCCTAAACGCACGGAAATTTGTTCTAGATTCCACAAGATCCGTATAATAAGCTACACCTGACGAAACAATTAAATTATTTAACATAGTGTTACCTTCATATTGCCAGAGATCACACCCCCAGTGTATGTGTTGGAAGGACTGCTCATTTTGCAACTCCAATGTCGAACATTGGCACCAAGGTGAATCACCAAGTTAAAATAAGAACAACTTGCTTTTAAAGTTGCTGTGGCCAGTAAGAATTTGGCCAACACAGTGATGCACCTCCAACCGCTCATGCACGGATGGGAAGAACTGATATAGGTGGCGGCCCGTGATAGAAGATTCCCATCTACACTGCCATTCAGTTGTAAATCGAGGGTAAAAGCTGGCCTAGGAGTAGTTTTAGTAAGAAAAGAGAGACCCCAGGTGGCTTTCATAATTGACGTCAGCGCTGTACGGTAGGTACTGTTTGTGTAATATAAATTATTATCTAATATTCATATGTATTATTTTCGATATTTTTTTTTTAACGTCCTGCTTACAAAATACGAGTGTGTATATCCCAGCACTACGGTTCGAATCGTAGGTGCCCTTCGTGGATAAATACATAAAACAAATTTGTATCCACGAAGAGCACCTGCCAAATATTTTGATAGGTGCCCTTCGTGGACTAGGCTGGGTGCTATTCGTTCAGGTGCTATTCGCACAGGTGCTCTAAATGGACTACCTCGTCGTGCTGGCCCGGAGGCTTAAGACGCTCGCTTCTCATGCATGAGGGTGCGGGCTCGAAACCTACCAACGGCAAGTACCAATGTGACATTTTCCGAGTTATATGTACTTTCTAAGATTCTTCAGACATCACTGGCAAACGGTGAAGGAAAACATCGTGAGGAAACCTGGGCTTATACTTTCTAATTGTAAGTTTGAATTCGCCAACCCGCATTGAGCAAGCGTGGTGATTAATGCTCAAACCTTCTCCGTGTGAGAAGAGGCTTTGCTCAGCAGTAGGCGCTTTTAGGCTGTTGATGTGTTAATTAAATACCTAGTATCGTTATAACCCAACAGTCAGAAACCCCATGGCCTGCTTTCTAAATCTATGATAATATACCTATACCTAGTCCCATGAAATGCGAGTTGTAAAAATAATGGTATTCAATTATTTATATATCGTAGTACAAAATGTTATCTAGAATGTTATGTTATGTTATCGTTTGTATCATAGCTCGATAGATGGCGTTGTCCTATATAAAAGTTTTTAACCGTGGGAGATCTTGCTTTGGTACGAATGGGCCGGCTCGACCGAAGTGATACCACGGCGTCATAGGACACCTGCGTGAAACTACGTTTACGTTTTGAGAAGCAGAGTGAGTGAGTTTATTAGAGACCCAATCTCAATTTTCTTAATAGGTCAGCATAGCAATTGTAACTCCTCTAGTGTGCCCACAGAGGGCGTTGATTGCTAGCTTCACTGAAGCTACGCGCTCGTTCCAAAGTGTAGTTCCGAATGTAGAAGAACGAGCAATAAACTCCATCGTTACTCTTTACCGACTTCAAAAACAGGAGGAGGTAGTATGTTCAGCTGATTTTTTATGATGGGATCCAAGGGAAACCGAGGGTAACTTTCGAAAATTGTAGGGGCGAGTATTGCGTCTATTATGTTTTTCAATTAGGATTTTTAAACACTACAATTTGATAAGGGTCTGGAGTCGACCTGATGATGGAGCCGACAGACAGTCGAGAGAACTCCTCAGCGGTTTATATTAACTAGCTTGTGTTTAGGCTTGATTAATTTGTATTGATAAGGACTTTACACCTAGATAGAGTGGGACTGTCATTAAGGGTCTGATGGTGAAGAAGTGTAGTTGTCAAGGGAACTCCTCAACGGTAAACAGTAACTATCTTGTGTTTGGGCTTGATATTGATTTGGATTTGATTGATAAGAACTTTGCACCTATGCTGATTATAAGTGACAAAATGGATCTATGTAGCTTTACACTGAAAATGATAAAATAATAAAAAAAAAACTGAGTTTAAAAAACCGACTTCAAAAAATTTATAACAGACAAAAAGTCAAAACTAAAAAGCAAAAAATAACTATTATTAGTACTGATAGGTTACCCACCCACTGATAGGTAAGAAGTCGGTGCCATAAGCTCATATTATAACGATATAACTTAATAGCCACAAAATTCTAAATTAGATACCTATCTATTAAGGTTTGAATGAATAATTTTATACCTATACAAGGTATAGTTTTGAAACCGTGTCATTTCTCGGGGGCATGTCACAGAAGTCATAAAGGTTCAATGTAAGGGAAAATTTCGGGCCAATAGTTAAAAATACGGCTATAATAAATCGTTTAAGTTCGACAGTATTTCAGAATAAACGACAATAATGTTTCTTATTGGAGTTTTATGGAATTAAGAATAATATCAATTACGTGTTTGAGTTTGTGTGTGTTAAGCCGCATTATAAAGCTAGTTACAAGACGGCGGTGTCTACTTCGCACGATTTTCCGTAATTTCAGAAAAATGATTCGGACTCAGTATCGATATCCGAGTTATCTCCTAGAAAATGACGCGGCTTTAAAATAATACCTTGTAGAACTTATGGCACCGACTTCTAACCTCAGTGGGTGGGTCCAACATTTTTTTTTTTTTAACAAATTTATTCATTGAAATTTTACATAGGTATTGCCTTAAATCTAAACTCGCCAAACTTTAACGTTTGATGGCGAGAGACGCTCATTTTTCAAACTATTTCTATTATTATCATAATTATGATGATGAAGGGAGTCTTTTTTTTTCCTTAACGATACCTCGTGTTGAAGGTGTAGTTAGACTACGGTGTCTGCTTACCATCAGGCGGGACATAAGCTTCGTTGCTATAGATAGTAGCGTAAAATATACAAAAATACAACTTACCAACAAAGATTAAACACAGCACAGCCAACATTTTGAACATTTTTTTCTATTAACACTCGCTACCGAAGCTGGGAATCGAATGAGTTCCAATACATCGTCTCCTCATTTTATATGACAATGTATTTACATAGACATCGTGTAGGCGATATAAAGACAAAGCTATTTATATATTTATTAATATTCACAGCAAACTACACAAATCCAGCATAAATTGACCTTTGAATGTTAAGAAAGAGTATAAAAAGCGGGACCATTGTAACTGGTTCGTTTAGCTACGTAAAGCTATTAAACCAGTATAATTTGACCTTTGAGAGCGCAGAAAGATCGAACATAGGGAGATCATGACCAACTGGTTAATGTTAGCAACATGTAGCTATACAAAACCAGTATAATCTGACTGCGAATGAATGGAAAGGTCATACAAAGCGAGTCCATGATACGCTGGCTTCGTATAGATGGATGTGCAGCCATATGTACTAGAATTTGTTTATTTCCCAATATTTGCTTATATTTTGTAAGCTAAATGCCAATGGTTACAGGTTCATGAATGTTTTTATCGATAAGTAATTGGATAGTTCATTTTCATAACATAACATCACACCTTTTATCCCCGAAGGGTAGGCAGAGGTGCACATTATACCACTGTACAATGTAACACTCACTTTTCACTATTTATGTTATGAGCCCCATGTAATAGGGGGTGAGCCTATTGCCATATACCGGGCTCCGTGCTACTACTGAGAATATTTAAAAACCCAGTAATACTTTGCCCGACCCGGGAATCGAACCCGAGATCGCTTGCCCGGCAGTCGCACTTACGACCATTCGGCCAACGAAGCAGTACATTTTTTTTATTATTGAGTTTTTCTCCTGAAGCCTAAGTACCCCATTGCCTCAGTGGTTATAAGAGACTGCCGTGCAAGAAGTCTCGGGTTAGATTCGAAAGTATTACTAGGTTTAAAAAAAACTCAGTAGTAGAGTAGCACGGAGTCTGGAATTGTGCCCGGTATATGGCAATAGGCTCACCCCCTATTACATGGGACTCATAACATAAATAGTGAAAAGTGAGTCTTACATTGTACAGTAGCATTAAATGCTGTAATGTGCACCTCTGCTTATCCTTTCGGGTATAAAAGGCATGATGTTATGTTATTGGGTTTTTCATAGTTTAATTAATTAAGTACAGTGTGTTGGGTCAGTGTGGACTCGCCATGCTTCGGCACGAATGGGCCTTTCGACCGTAATGATACCACGGCCGAGCAGAAAACCGACGTGAAACAACGCTTGCGCTGTTCCGTCGTGTGAGCGGTTAGCGGTGGCCCAAATAATGAAAGTCCGGTAACGCACTTGTAACACCTCTTTTTTTTTAAGGGGGGAAAATCATCGAATGACTGCTCCCGCCTGGGTGAGGCGGGAGGGAGTGTCAGACTCTTACTGACTAAAAACCACCCCGTTCCTTCTCCTGCACGTCGAGCCGGAGCCCCGGTTACCCGTTAGGTTCTCCGCGACTCCGAATCGGCATCGGCCCTATTGGGCCCCATCTGTGGTGGTCTGATGGCTCTTTGAGGCGCGCGCGGAACGCGACGCGCCGTACGCTCGGGTCTGTTTCTGGTCGGACGGGGAGCCACCCATGCTCGCCGTCCGCAGGCCCGCGCTTACGGTGGCCGGAGATCGTCCCGCGATCCCCGACGCCCGGTGTGTCCTTCGCGATGGCTGGGTTGCGAGGAGGCAGCGCTTCGCTGCCTCACGCGTCCCGCCTCCTCCTTAGCTAGCATGACTGCTTCGCAAAAGGAGGAGACGGCATCCCAGTCCCCCTCGCTCCGCATCATGGCCCGCACTAGGCCCGGACGCGAGAGGTCGCCATCGCCGATCACTTGTAACACCTCTGGCGTTTCGGGAGCCCATGGGCGACGCCGATTGCTTGCCAGTAGGTGATTTGTCTACTCGTATACCGGTTTACCGGTTTATCTCATTAAAAAGAATTGTTTCCTAAAGGAGTTCACATCCTTTATTTTAATTTAAAAGCAGTCACATTTAATCACACTAATATTATAAATGTGAAATGGATGATGATGGATGTTTGTCCGTCAATCAACTACTGAACGTATATTGATGAAATTTGGTGTACACTATAAAGGCAGGGTACGGGCTGACTTAGGTGATAGGATACCTTTTCCGATTAAATGCTCCCATGAGATTTATCTCTGTTTTAACAGCAATCTTACTCTAGGTATTCGAATGAAGTCGCGGGCAACTGTTAGTTATCTATAAGGTTTATTACTCAATAGTTACCATGTCTACTCAATACCAATAAAAACTGCGCGTGATGTTACGGTTTGTTGATATAATGGGTCAATATGAGTCAGCAGTAGTTCCGTATATCTACTTATTAATTTATTTTTTATATATTTAGATACTAGCTGTACCCGCTACTTTGCCTGCGTAGAATAGTAATTCACTGCTCCTCCCCACATAAGTAACATAGCGTGATAGTTTGTACCCTATATGTTGAACCGACCTGTTAGTAATATTCATGGATAATAGGGTAGATGATTAATTTTTATTTTAATGTTCGTCTGGTAGGTAGATTATTTAAAAATATTACACACGTATTTTTTATTTTTTTACAGAAACGAATACTTTCGACGATATATTGATTTGAAATGTCGCGTGACGTCTCTTCTATGTACATTTTATACGTAGAAATGACGTTTTTACTCGTAAACTTTGTTTCGTTATATCTAAGTATCATTTTATTATGCGTCAAAATAAAAAAATACGTGTCTAATATTTTTTCATTACCTAACTGACGGACTAATTAGATTTTTAATTTTCATACCCTGTCATCATCCCTATTTGAAGTTAATCCATGCAGAAGTTTGTTAGTTTAGCCCGGACATACATACCTGATAAACAGATAAAAATTCAAAAAAACATATTTTTGATTTCGGTATCGCTTGTAGATCACGCCCAAGCATTCTTTTAAAAAATATTTAATGTACAGTTTTCACTTTCCTACGATTTTATTATAGTTATGTATAGAATGATAGTTTTTTTTTTAAAAACGTTGCCCCACACTAGGATTTTCTCCTGTGTCGTGGGTGCGTTTACAAACATACAATTTCACATACACAATGACACCCAGACCCGAAACAACAATTTGTGGATCACACAAAGTGTTGTTCCGTGCGGGAATCAAACCCGCGACACGTTGCACGGCAGCCGGTTGCCCAGCCACCGCACCAACCGTGCAGTCAAGTCAATAGTGTGGCTCCTATTGTCCAGTTCGTATGACGTAAGCTGCATACGGACTCGTTTGATAACATCTTGGAGTAGACATCTTGGCGACTTTTGTGTTGTACGATAAATGTAATGAAGGTGGGATTTTACTTTATGTTATGAGTTAAGCCGGTAAGCCGGTAAACGGTAGACGGATGTCGCGGAGAACCTAACGGGTAACCGGGGCTCCGACTCGACGTGCAGGAGAAGGAACGGGGTGGTTTTTAGTCAGTAAGAGTCTGACACTCCCTCCCGCCTCACCCAGGCGGGAGCAGTCATTCGATGATTTTCCCTCCTTAAAAAAAAAACGGTCGACGGATTACCCATTTCTAACTTATTATTAGATATTATTAATCCAGGTTTCCTCACGATGTTTTCCTTCACCGTTTGTCCAGTGGTGTCTGGATAACATTAGAAAGTACATATAACTCGGAAAAAGTAATATTGGTACTTGCCGTTGGTAGGTTTCGAACCCGCACCCTCATGCATTATAAGCGAGGGTCTTAAACCTTATCTTAAACATAAGTAGTTCCATATAAAAATCTAAACAGCGAATTCGACATGATAGTTAGATTTACTCTTCCCATACTTTAACAAAATCTTGACACAAAAAATATTCTAGACTAAACAACTACATTACGCCTACTTACGATATTGCTAAGTAAACTATATTCTAATATAAAAAGCCGAGACTGTCTCAACTGCGACAGTGTCTCACTGTATGTGGTAGAGAAATAAAGAGTAATAAAACATTCATATTTTTATTAAGAACAATGTTCAAGTTAACTGCAATTCTGGCCTTGATTTTCATTGGTGAATATTTTTACTATTATAATTTACATACATACATACATAACATCACGCCTTTTATCCCCGAAAGGGTAGGCAGAGGTGCACATTACGGCACTTAATGCCACTGTAATGTAACACCCACTTTTCACTATTTATGTTATGAGTCCCATGAATAGGGGGTGAGCCTATTGCCATATACCGGGCACAGTTCCAGACTCCGTGCTACCACTGAGAAAAACCCAGTAATACTTTGCCCGACCCAGGAATCGAACCCGAGACTCCTTGCCCGGCAGTCGCACTTGCGACCACTCGGCCAATGAGGCAGTCATTATATAATATATATTATTATAATTTACATAGCGCTGAGAACTGACGGGCGCTGGGGCATAAAGGTTCTCGAGTAGAGGCCACATACCACGACGTCCAAGGTGGACAGTCGACCTGATTTAAGTCGCTCAGCTGCTGGATGCAGGTCGCTTCCAACCAGCCTATCTGGAAGGCATTGGGGGAGGCCTAAGTTCAGCAGTACACGTCCTATGGCTGATATACTGAATTTACTTTTTTAACTGTAGTTCAGGCATTTTATGTAAGCTACTATCAGTAGCACCAAAGGTTATTATCCGCCTGATGATGAGCGGACACTACTGCGAACTATCCAACGGGTACTGGCTTCGGCTCAGAAGTAGGAACGGGGTAGTTTTTAGTAAGTAAGAGTCTGATACTCCCTCTCGCCTCACACAAGCCGGGAGGAGCCATTAGAACAACTTTCTGGGAGGATAGCATGGATAAGCATGCCATGGTTTGATCTGTTAAGCTTTATAAAAATGCTATAGGCGAATTGTTCTGAAATGCAGTAACATTACGCCGCTACACTGATTGCAAGAAAATTACTTATTTGTGATTATTTTTTCTCCTTCCAGTGAGCGGTGTGTGGTCGTCGTGCGACTCGTGCGGGCGCGAGTGCAGCGCGTCATGCGGCACGCGCCGCTTCCGCGCGTGCTGCTTTAACTATCTGCGCCGGAAGAGGGCGCCATATACTGCACAGGTAAATATTTCAATTGCAACATGTTGCCGGAGAAACCAATTGGTGTTGATTTGAAGAGTATATACTCATTTGTTTGATGATAGATCTCCACTCGAGAACATGAAATATTTGATTCTCCTACGATGCTACGACTTACGAACTGTGTAGCAACGATATAGCTACAGCGTAGTTATGGCGTAGCAACAACGTAGCAATGGCGTAGCGACGGTGTAGCAACGGCGTAGTACGTAGGAAACAAAAACAAAAGCTGATGTTGCAACCGTTGTTGAACATATTGCGGGTTCATTGACTCATAAAATTAATAAAATGAATAACATCACGCCTTTTATCCCCGAAGGGGTAGGCAGAGGTGCATATTACGGCACTTAATGCCACTGTTAAATATAACACCCAATTTCTACTATTTATGTTACGAGTCCCATTTATATGGGACTCGTAACTCGTAGTGGGTGAGCTTATGAGCCTATTGCCATATACCAGGCACAATTTCAGACTCTGTGCTACTAGTGAGTATTTTTAAAAACCCAGTAATACTTTGCCCGACCCGAGAATCGAACCTGAGACCCCTTTCACTTGCGACCACTCGGCAATTGAGGCAGTCTCATACAAGAATGTGTTGATAGGAAATGCTTTTTTCTCATTTCAGATTCATTTCCAACATCAAGACATGAAGGACAACAGGCCAAAGGCAGATCTACCTATATTCCTCCTGCAGGAAGACTCAAATGCAGACCTATTGATGAACAACATGTTAGCAAGCGAATACCAACCCTATACCTTAGAAGACATGTTTGAAAATCGTTTGGATTGAATTCTTTCTTGTATTTATTTGGTTGAGGAATTTGATTGATTATACTATGATTGCAACGGTAATATTATGTCATGTTATGTTATTATGACGTCGTAAAGTCAGAATGGTTTCATTGAGGGAAAGAAACAGAGCTATATAAGTCGTCTAGCGAGATTTCGTTCCCTAAACGGAACCACTCTATACTCGGAATTTTAATCCGATTCCAAATTTGACAATTTCAGTGTTGCAACGTTATGACAAGTAGTAAATAGTGACGTTGCGAAATTATTCGATATGGAAATGCAATATTTCTGGATCGATTCTTCATGTTTATAATTTTATTCTCGTATACTAAGTATTTTTGGAAATTAAATATTTCTGAACCGATAAATTAGTTTTGACGAATAATTAACGATCTGAGACTTTTCTTTTATAATTGTCTGTGAAATAAATAAAAAAATGCAATCATGAAGGAACATGACAAATAAAACAGATAGATGTATTATGGTAACAAGTTATTTTGTAAATTGTCGCCGTCATCGCTATCGCTATCCTGTCACTTTCTGTAACATTTATTATAAAACACACACTGATTGTTTATCGATTTTTGTGTTCATCACTACACTATTATATGTGGTATCATTATTTCACAAAATGTCAGTAGCTATTGTCAAATCTGGAATCTAATTAAAATTCTGACTATAGCTTTAAAACGTCATAATACTCCACCTGTATCTTTGACTTATCTGTATCAATAAATAAATAATGCATTTAAAATGATTTATGCTTTTGTTTTTACATAAAACGATTAAACAGGTAATACATCACACTACACGACTTAAGTGTGGGAGAGCTATGCTTCAGCACGAATCGGCCGGCTCGACCGGAGTGATACCACGGCCTCACATATGACCGACGTGAAACCACACTTGCGTGAGTGAGGTTACCGGAGGCCCAATTACCCCTCCTTTCCCAATCCCTGAATCCCCAACAATCCTCAAATTTCTAATCCCAGATTTTTCGGATCGATCGGATGAATCGGATTCGAAACGGCTTGCCCGGCAGTCGCACTTGCGACCACTGGGCCAATGAGCCACTCAGTCAACAACAATACACAACAACTACACCCAAACAAAACCACGAAAAAGAAAAAATCAAACAACAAATTTTCAAAATGTAATATTGTATCAGTGCGGCCAGTAAAGTACTTGTAACGCCTCTGGTGTTCCAAGTGTACATAGGCGACGCCGATTGCTTACCATCAGTTACTCCGTCTGCTCGTTTACCGGCTTCACTACATAGTATAAAACAAAGTCGCTATCCGCCGTCTGTCTGTCCCTATATGCTTAGATCTTTAAAACTACGCAACGGATTTTGATGCGGTTTTTTTTATTAGATAGAGTGATTCTTAAGGAAGGTTTATATGTATAATACGTGCATATTGCACCCGTGCGAAGCCGGGGCGGGTCGCTAGTATCCCAAAAAACACTAATATTATAAATGTGGAAGTTTCTTTGTTCGGATGTTTGTCCGTCAATCACGCTGAAACTACTAAACAGATTTTGATGAAATTTGGTATACCTACAGGCAGGCGGACTTAGGTGATAGTTTACTTTTATTGTGATTAAATGCCCCCATGGGATAAAATAGGAATACGAGAGCAAAGTCGCAGGTAAAAGCTAGTAAAAATATTTTCATGTTGAACGGGTTTAATGAGCTCTATTCTACCAATCAAGCCTTTACGTTTGATATCCATAGTGACGGTAGTTGTGGGAACAATTAGATTATATTGTATGGTCATCAAGATATTATTTTAAACTGTCAAACACCAAGTGGTCACCGGTGACCGCAACCTATTGTTCTATAATTGTGTCTATAATGACGGTACTCGACGAGTTAAACGTACGCCCATAGGATATTCTCCTGTGTCGTGTGTGCGTTTACAAACATACAAGTTCACATACACATGACACACGGACCAACAATTTGTGGATTACACAAAGAGTTGCTCCGTGCGGGATCGAAGCCGCTGCACGTTGAGCGGCTAACCGTGCAGTCAAAGACAGATCGATCTGTCGTCAGGAAGGGGGGGAAATTACAATTACTTGACCCAAACAGACAAACAGGGCAAGCTAAATAAATTCGTTTTGAAGAATCAATAATCCGTGTGAGTCCTCTGCTGGAATATAGGTCTCCTCTACATACGTTTTATTTTTTAATAAATATAATAATATTGTAGTATTTATGCAGTAGGTATAAGTATTTGTTTAGTAGTATGTATTATATGGTATGTATATGTCTGTACTGATTTATAAAATATTGTATTAATATATTTATTCTATAGGTTATTTATGTGTGTAGTATACATATTACATAACTTTTTTTTTTATTTTTTCAATTGTGTTCTGGCTTCGCATCAACCACTTCATTTCTCTGCACTTCCCTATGGTTGACTGTAAGAGAATGCCTTAAGGCATTAAGTCCGCCATTCACTGATGTATTTTGTGAAGAAGAAATAAATAAA